AGGTGTTCACTATTTCTCGGGTTTCTGCTGGCTTTCTCCTATGTGACTCTAAAAAGGTGAAACTTGCCCCTCCTCTATGTTGCTCCGGGGCTTCCTTAAACTCCAGACTCATTTTGAACTACTTGCTCTAAGTACCATTTCTGGATGTCCTTGAGACGCCTCAGACTCAGTGTGTCCAAACAGAACCTGCTGTCTCCTCCCTAAAGGCTCCTATGTACCATTTCTTTCCCCCCTGCAGCAAAGGGCACCCCGTCACAGTGTCCAGGCCAGAACTGAAAGCCAGGCCACCTTCCACTCTGCTCTCTTTGCTCATCCCCCAAACCTGAGATTCTGTGCTGAAGTGGACTTGATCAGCTTCCCTTTCTCCTTTTCACATCTGTCCCACCAGTTCTTGGTACAGTGGGACCCGTCTCCAGCTGCCTCATGAACTGGGGCGTGTGTCTTGCCTGAAGGGCGGCCTTTGCAGCAGCCATTGCTGCCAGGTCAGAGCTGGGTCCACTGTTGCTGGAACCTCTTCGGTAGCCAGAAATCCAGATCTTTATGTGAAATCTGATTTCTTAGGATAGACCTGCTTTTTTTATTTCTTTAGTTTCCACGCTTAATGCTACTGATTCATTCCTTCTACTTACTGAGGGTTTAATTTGCTAGGGTTTTTTTCTTCTACTTTTTAAAGATCATTTTAAACTTTTTTCCTAATACAAACCTTCCTAGTTACAAATTTTATTCTACCACTTGCTTCTACCACTTCTTAGCTATATCCCATTTGGATATGTTGTGTTTTCATTCTTTCAGTTGAAAATATTTTCTGGTTTTTCTTGTGATTTCTTCTTTAACTCATGGTTTATTTAGAAGTGTGTTGCTTAATTTCCCGATGTGTCGGTTTTCTAGATGTTTTTTGCTATTTATTTTTAATTTAGTTTTATTATACTCTGTAACTTTAGTTCTTTGAAATGTATTAAGATTAGTTATGTGGCCCTAAAGATGGTCTATCTTGGTAATAATGTCTGTGTGGATTTGCTGTTGTTGCAGAGTGTTCCCTCAGTGTCAGCTAGGTCAAGTTGGTTGACAGTGTTCAGGTTTCCTATCTTGATTTTTTTGTCTACTTGTTCTATTGATTACTGAGAAGGGAGTGTTGATGTCTCCAAGTATATTTGTGAGTTTGTTCACTTCTTCCTTTTGTCCTGGCAGATTTTACTTGTAAACTGTGTTTTAAGTCTTATGTGGATATAACTGAAGCACTTCTGTGGAATACATGTGGCCTTGGTCTTACCTAGTCTTCCTCCATTTTAGATGTACCAAAATGGCCTTCCCAAGCCACAGGTCTGACCACATCACCACCTGCTTAATGAAAGGCCCCAGACTCAAGGGCCTGGACTCCTAGTAAGAGATAAGGTCCAGACTCCTTAGCAGGCATTCACGGTCTTCACAAACCTATTTTTACAACCTTTTCCTGTCCCCTGTTCCATGCGCCCAAGTAACCATGTCACCATTTCTGGGATCTTGACACCTGTCTGCCTGATGCTTTCTCCCCTCAGAAACTAGCCCAAATAGTTTCTCTCTGAGACTTTGAGGCTACATCCTACTGCACTCTCACGCAGAAACCATTGCTCTACCTTGGAGTTTCCCAAGCACTTGGCACAATCTCCAGTCATCACACATATCCTTGAGTGTTTGTACTACTATCACCTGTTCACATGCACTTCACAGCGGTGCTAGCAGGACAGAGACTGAGTTTACTGTGGATTCCAGCCTCTCAGAGTGCCACTGCAGGCAGTACTTTTTAAAAAATTTTAATCCTCCCCTGAGAACATGCTTAGAGAGAGAGGGAGAGAGAGAAAAAAACAAAACATCAATTCAGCTGCCTTCCTCACACCTGACCGGGCATCAAACTGCAACCCAGTTATGTGCCCTGACTGGGAATCAAATCAGCAATCTTTGGTGCACAAGACAATGCTCAACTAACAGCCACTCCTGCTGGGTGGCAATACGTTTTTAAGAAGTAAATGCAACTAGAGATGTGCCACACCCACTGTCTGCCCCCTGGTGGCTTGAAATGAGGAGTACATGGGAGTCACTGCCATAGCGAGTGCCCAGGCTGGGGAGTGGAACTGCATGAGGGCAGGGAAAGAAATCAAGCAGCCACTGCTGTGAGCTCCTCAGCTGAAACCTCGGGGATGCAGCAGGCACACAGCTGAGGGATGTGGGCGCCTGGGCTGCACTCTTGGCTCTGCTGCAGATTTTGGCCACTGAGTTCCAGAGACTATAAGTCAGACAAGGCTGTCCTTGAAGGAAAGGTTCTCACACCACAGCCATGGGTCCCAGGGCCAGTCAGATGAAGCTTTGTCCTGGGCACATTCTTGTTATGACATTAGGGAGGTTTCTGAGGAAAGAGGAGAGCGAGGGAGGAGAAGAGTCCTCCACAGAGGAGGGTGTTGTCACTCAGGCAAAAGTGGAAGAGCACTGAGAGGAAGGAAGGAAGCAGTGAGTGGATAAAATCAAGTGCCAGGAGAAGATTTGTGTGTTAGTGGCCAAGTGTGTTCTTTGAGGGAATACCAGGGTCAGGGGCAGTGCCAGCCTCAGAGGAGGTACTGGCCAACCCCTCCTTTCTCACCCTTCCTCTGGCCCCCTCCACAATCTCCCATCAGCACTACCCAACCCTGAGCAAACATCTTCTCACCCTCCTTTCCAAATCCTATTTATTAGCCCAGTTCCCTCTCTACAGACCTCCCGCGTTTGTCCGCGGGGACAGAGTTGGGGGGTAGCTGGGCTTCCCTGCCCCCACATGCCTAGGGTTTGGGAGGTGAAGAAGGGCTAAGACAGGTTTGCTTCTGTGGGCCCCAAACCAGGAGTATCGGGCTCGAACGAGGCAGACCCCCGGCCGCTGTCCTTATGTCAGGATGTGCAGGCCAGGTGAGAAGCCAGAGTGGAGACATGCCCTGTCCTCAGGGGGCAGCTCCTGCCCAACTCAGCTGGCAGGGTTAGAGTGGCATTTTATAAAACAAAACCATAAATCTGGGCATTTTTCAAGTGAAGCCTTCCATTAATTGCCATCCCTTGTCTTCATATGGGATTCATGTTGTTCCTGGGTTGCCCATGCCCTGATAGGCCAGGCCCCTGGGAGCCACAAGTGCCAGTCTGGAGATGTGGGACATGCTGTCGGGGCCCTGGAGAAGGGTTTTAAATGGATGAGATGTGCCAGACTGTGACGCACAGATGAAGAAAAAGACTCATGAGACGCAGCACTCTGCAGACACCTTAGGACTGGACAATCAAATGTAGGGGCTGTGGGCACCAGCGGGGGCTCTTGGTTCCCATGTAAAGGGACTCTGGCCTATTCTTGCCTCTCAAGAGTACATGCCCACTGTAGCCACACTCCTTTTTTTCCCTAAGATGTTAACTATTATGTGCAATTTCCTTATTTTAAAATGTTGACTCAATTTAAAAGTAGGCAAGCAAAATGAACCCACTGTCCCCCATGGTTCTGCTTTAAAAGGTATATATATGGTACTTGAGAGCGAGACTTTCTTTGTTTCCCTTGAGAAGCAATGTGAAGCAGGTGGGGAAGCTGGCAGTCTGCCTTCAGATCTTGACTCTAGATTTGCTAGCAGTGTGACCCTGCCCAGTGCCCGTGTCCTCCCTCAGCATCCCGGGGTCTGCCGGCACCTGCCTTGGGAGGCAGATCACCTAGGCGCACAGAAAGTGCTGTAAACCTAGCTGTTGATACTGCTATTGTGCCTACAGTGGAGCGGAGGCGGAGGGACAAGATCAACAACTGGATTGTCCAACTTTCAAAAATCATTCCAGATTGTAACACAGACAACAGCAAGACAGGAGCGGTGAGTGCCCCTGGCGCCACCCAGAAAGTCTGCCTGGACCACTGGGGTGAGCCAGTAGGCAGAGGCCAGTGAGCAGTGCTCACTCTGATGCTCTTGCCCGCCCCCCAGAGTAAAGGAGGGATCCTGTCAAAGGCCTGCGACTACATCCGGGAGCTGCGCCAGACCAACCAGCGCATGCAGGAGACCTTCAAGGAGGCCGAACGGCTGCAGATGGACAATGAGCTCCTGAGGCAACAGGTGAGTGCCAGGGCTGGGAGTTGGGTGGAGGACCCAGGACCCCACGGTGCAGGGGACTATTCCTGGCCCCTGGTGCCCTCTCATGTCTGCCAGATTGAGGAGCTGAAGAACGAGAATGCCGTGCTTCGCGCCCAGCTGCAGCAGCACAACCTGGAGATGGTGGGCGAGAGCAACCGGCAGTGACACCTTTCCCGTCGCACAGCAGGCCCTTCTCCGGGCCTCTGCTGCCCCTTCCCCAGCCCTTAGCACAGAGAGGGACAGATGCCCCTCCCCCAGCTGCGTTTTTTTATAGTAGATTTTTAACAAAACAAAAAAAAAAAATGGGGAGAAGTAATGCATTTCTTTGGATAAACACCCACTGCTCTCCTGGATGTGGAAATGATCTCCCTCCCCCATTGTCTGCCCCTTCTCCTGGCCCCCACTAAGCCCCAGCACTTCTAGTGGTCTTGCCTGGAGGCAAAAGGGACGACAGAGGCCCTGCCATATCCCGCTGCCTGTTTTGGCCTCTAGAGGTATGACATGGTGCTTACGGGCAGGAGGGGAGCCTTTGGGGGCCACCCCTGGGACCTGGACCTAAGAAGGGAGGCCATGTCCCACCCCACCTCTTGTTTCTGGATTCCTGCTCCCCTTTGGGTGTGTGTGTGTGTGTGTGTGTGTGTTTTCATTTTCTTTATGGAAAAATGGACAAAAAATAGAGAGAGAGAGAGGTATTTAACTGCAATAAACTGGCCCCATGTGGCCCCGCCTTGTCTGTCTGTGTATTTGTCTTTCTCAGGTATGGGCTGGGGCCATGGGGTCTGTGCAGAGCTCCATCAGGGCAGGGCCTCAGGTGCTGTTGGTGGCTCTGTGCCAGTTCCTACCGTTCTGTACTGCACGGCACCCATGGCTGGCTGGAGGAATTAAGGAGTGAATACCCTGAGACCCCAGGTGTGTGTATATGTGTGCGGGGGCTGGGGAGAGGTTGAGTCAAGGACCTACGTCTTTGGAGGAGAGGCTGGGGTCTCCTGTGTCATCAGTTCCTAAAAATAGGACTGGCTCCTGGCTCTGCCCTTCTGGGCTGAAGCCCTTCCCTCTGCACCAGCCAATGGTGGGGCCTGGCCTTGAGCCCCCCACCCCCAAGGAAGGCAGAAGGCCAGGAAGCCAGGCTTGGCCCGTCAGCCTGTCGCCTTGCACTGTGGCTCTGGCGCCTGTGCTATGACCCCTGCCCCTGGCTGATGATGAAATCTGGCCTGAGCGGAGATGGAGTGACACCAGGCAGTGTTGGGGGATGCTTCTGGGTCTCCCTGTGGTCGAACGTGCAGCCCCCATGCAACTCCATCCCCTCCCAGGATACAGACCTGCCAGTCGCCACCATGCTGAGTTCACCATGCATGTACCCCAAGTGTCCCCAACTGAGAGCCCTGTCTCCTTTTCCTGGCCATTACACAGTTTGAGGCCCTCTTTGAGAAAGGATGTGTGCAGCAGGAAGAGCCTAATGTGGTGTGAATGGGGAGGCAAATGTCAAGGAGCAGCCTTGATTTCTCAGGGGCCCCCATTCTTATTGTTTTGAATGAGCTCGGCTATAGTTCAGGGCAGGGGAGAAGTCTTCATTCCTTGGCAGCTGCATCTCCAGGCTCCAGTAAAGTTGACACTGGATGATCTATGAATGAGTCAGAGCCCAAATGGCCAAAGTCCCATCTCTGGATTTAAGTTAGTGGGTCCTCTGGGCTGTGTGTACCCACTATGTTCAGGTAGTGGCCAGAACAGTCAGGAGCCTTGGTTCTTCCTGCCCAGTGGTGTTCTAAGGCAGTGGTTGCTAACCAGACAACTGGTGAGATGTGAGTCCGAAAGGTTGATGACTGCTGTTCTAAGGGACCAGCTCTCCCCCCAAAAGAACCCTGGTTTGTAGTGTTGGCTGATGTGTACATACCCCATTGCTGGTGTCCAGATACCAACATGATGCCACTGAATGTGGAGGTGGGATGAGATGTGCACAGTGGCTCTATTGAGCCAGTATGAGCCAGGTCTACTGACCTGTATTTGGGGGAGGCAGGAAAGAGCACAGGCCTCAGAGTCAGGTTGCCTACTCTGGAGTGCCAGCTCTGCCTCTGATCTTGGCAGAGCCCCATCTTGGCCTTCAGTCCTTCCAATCAAGTGAGGAAAGCAAGCCTAGTGGGCTCCTAAGGGGGAGCAGGTCCTTGGAAATGGGCTGAGCGGGCAGCTTGGGCCCTGAATACAGTGCAGAGCCCAGAATGGGGCAGCAGGCACTGCTTTGAGGACAGGCGGTCCTGGCTGTTAAGCACCAAAGTGAGACAGTACACCTGCTGGGACATGAGGTGGAGCCACTACTGTTCCTGCTCTTCCATGGTCTGGCGTCACAGGAACATTTTCCAGATACCAGGCCCCTTCTTAAGGTACTGACACTTGTAAAAGATCATGCTCGTGCAGGCTCCTCCTGCATCTGGCTGTTGCAGTGTTCTCTACAGAACAGAATCCGAAGCTGGGGGAATGGTATGCGGCACCCCAAAGGACCCTGGTAAGTGACAGCCACCCCCCATGTGAAGGAGGAGGTCAGGGAAGGGTGGGGAACCCTCGTTCCCTGTGGAGCAAGGTGGGGAACACCTTGCTCCTGCTCATTGACCTGTTCAACCTCTGTGGCAAAAGGGGGAAGTTTTTCTGAGATCAACAAGATGATGTCATGTTAGGGAAAGTGTTTCCCAGGTGGCTGGCTAGAGGCCTGTGTCTGTGGCCCCATCTGCCCCACCCCCTGTACACACCTCTGCTGGCTGAGGTTGACACAACCCTGTTCCCTGTCACTCTGTTCCCGCTTATCTCCCGCCTTTTCGGCGCCACTACCTTCTTGGAAATGAGGACAAAGGGGAGGGGGCTTAGCACCCCCTCTTCTGGCCCCATAAAAGCGACTGTAACTGTGCCCAGACACCAGAGCTGTCTGAGACCTAACAGCAGGACACCAGCCAGACGGCACAATGGCACTGAATGTGCGGATCCAGGCTGCCTGTCTTCTGCTCCTCCTCCTGGCCAGCCTGGCCAGTGCCTCAGCTCTGCACCAGGTGAGAGCCCCTGGGGCCTGGGCCCAGCAGGCAGCCACGTGGGAGAGCCAGGCCCTCGGAGGGGACTGTTGAGGGCAGATGGAGACCACAGGACTGGGCAGATGGCAAGGCAGGCAAAGGGAGGAGGGGCAGCTGCCTAAAGTACAGAGATAGGGTCCGAGTGGCAGGGACTGGGGGTTCCCAAACTAATTCCACATTTACTGAGTGCTATTCTGTGTAAAGTCTCATTCTAAACGGGATCAAGCAGTGAACAAGGTAGATGAGAGAAGATTTTTGCTCTTATGGTGCTTACAATCTGGTCAGGGAATTAGTTAAAAAACAAAAGATCATGGTGTTTAGTAAATGCTACTCACATTTAACAAAAAAAATTATAGAGTGACCATGGTGGTGGGGGGCACGGAGGGGGCGGATAGGTGAGATCAAGAGCTGGCAGTCACGGAGGAGTGTTTTGAGAGAAAATGGTATTTGACCTATGACTTAGAGGGTGAGACGGGCAAGCTAAGACCCGAAGTGGGGCAAGCGTGGTGTACTTAGTAATCAGAGGCTGTAGGGAGTGGGTGGTGGTCTTGGAGCTGAGATTGATGTTCCTCCAAGTGCAGGAAGAGCCCTGCAGGCTTTTCTAATGGATACAGCCACACACGACTGATATGTGAGGAACGGATTGTAGGGGCAAGTTGGAGGCAGATGCCATCCTCAGCATTCCCTTCTGCTTTCACAGACAACACAGCTTGCAGACCTCCAGACCCAGGATACAGCTGGAGCCACAGCTGGCTTGAAGGTGAGAACACCTTGACCTCTTTCCAGAGCCTCACAGCCTTCCCTGAGCCCATACCTGCTCACTCTTCCTTCCTTCCTACAGCCTGGGCTGCAGAGGCTGAGGAGGCGAGACACTCACTTCCCCATCTGCATCTTCTGTTGTGGCTGCTGTTATCCATCAAGGTGTGGAATCTGCTGCAAGACGTAGAGTCTCCCTGCCCTCCCCTCCCTCTATTTATTCCTGTCGCCCTCTAACACTTGGTAAATGGTCTCGGAATAAAATGACTGTTCTAGCTTTATTTTCCAAACCAGAGTGTTGTGCTTTCTCCCCGCCAAAGCTGTCTTGTACAGGGGTACTCAGTGGGATGTGCCGGTTGTTGTGTATTGAGGTTTCAAGGAAGCTTGGTGAAAGACATTTGTTTTCTGTTCTTCCCCTTCTTGAAGCCCCATTTCATAAGACCTAAAATTTTTGTTGCCACAGCAGGGAATAAAAACTAAACAAAGTTTCTTCTTTAAGTCTTGAAGTGGGTGATAAACTCAAATACCTAGCCAGGGTTCTTAAAGTCAAGTCTGGGGGTCTATCCAAGGACCCATAGGAGGACACTATTAAGATGTTACTAGTTTCTTTCACTCTCATTCTCACATGAGTGTTCAGTGGGGTTTCCCAAAAGCTCTGTGACATCATCCCTCTGATGGCTAATGGATTGTAGCTGTGCTTTAAAAATTTCCGAGTTTCAATTTTTAATATGTTAAGCAACTGTACATATAACCCACTTAAATGAAAGTTTTTGGAGTCCTCAATAATTTTGCAGAAAGGGTTCCTGAGACCAAAATGTTTGAGAACCATTGGCCTTGCAGATAGATGCAGTAAATGAGAGAGGTGTGGATTTGTTTCGCAGGAGCATATCTTACCTAATAAAAGAGAAATCTTACCTAATAAAAGAGAAACATGCAAATTAACTATCACTCCGCTATACCCACAGCCAATCAGAGTGAGTATGCAAATTAACCTAACAAAGATGGAGGTTAATTTGCATATGCAGGCAGGGAGTGGTGTGAAGCCTGCTATGAGGGGAAGGGGGGTGGCTGAGGGAGCTACTGGAGCACCACAGAAGCAAGGACTTGCAGGCTCCGGGCGGCCAGGGATTGGGGACATGCCGGCTCCTAGGTGGCTGGGAGTGAAGCCAGGGGAAGGAAGGCCTATTCTTGCACGAATATCGTGCAACGGACCTCTATTTAGGTTATCTCTCAATAAAGACACACTTTGTACATGACACACAGAAGAGAACACCATTCACAAGGAATTAAGTTCCCTCTCATTTTTAAAAAATATATTTTATTGATTTTTAACAGAGAGGGATAGAGTGTTAGAAACATTGAGAGAATCATCGATCAGCTGCCTCTTGCACACCCCCTACTGGGGATGTGCCCGCAACCAAGGTACATGCCCTTGACCGGAATCGAACCTGGGACATTTAAGTCCACAGGCCAATGCTCTATCCACTGAGCCAAACTGGTTTTGGCCCTCCCATTCTTTTTAAAAACCATATCCCTCTCAATTTATCAGATTTTCCCACTTTTGATAGAAACAAAGATGCATTTCACTATCTTCTTAGCCTATAAAAACATCAGCAGTGGTGTGATGATAAAGGGTGGCTATTTGGCTTCAGTGTTGCGTATGGACAGGAAGCTGGGAGGCCTAGATCCCATCTGAAGTGGCTCCCCGTGGTGGCTGCAATGCTCAAAGGCAGGCCAAACATGGCTAGAGCTTCTTTCCAAGAGAAGGTGGCAGTCCTTTCTGATTTTAAAAAATTTGGCAACTGATTAAAGAAATTTGATTTTTTAAAATCAACACTCTGGGAGCTAAACTAAATTAAACCCAATTGGAACTGGATCAGTCTGGTAATCCACAAACTTCTGCTTTCTGCCTTTGAAGCCATGAGAGGCTCCTCCAAGAGGATTTCCTGAACCAAGACTAAGGGGTGGGAGAGGAAGGCAAGCTGGAGAGCCTGGCCTCCTATTTGCTGCAGGATGGAGCAGGCATCTCTCCTCCACCACCCCTCTCCCCATACCCCAACCCACCTCCTCATGTGTGAAAGGTCAGAAGTGTCCCATGTTGCCAGTGCTCAGCTGATTGGGCTGTTGAGCGGCTCAGCAGGAATGAGTGAAATGGTTTGGAAATTCAAATGCCTTATCAGTATAAAGGATCAGTACAGAGGGGAAGGAAGAGGACTCTCGGACCTCTTCAATAAATGCCTGGGAAGTGGGAAATCTGAAATGACTAAATACATTTAATGACACTGAGTACTCTGTTCATCTTAGCAAGTTCTCTGGGGTGGTCCTAGAGAGAGGCAGAGGTGCTCCAGGTCAGCGTGCAGCAGAATCTGCTAGGGGGCAGATTGCCAGAGTTGCTGACTCCACAGGGCTGGGTTGAGGCCATGGAACTTTGTAATAAGCTTCCAGGCCATACTGATGCTACTGGTGGGGCGGGGGCGGGGCATACTCGGAAGACTCCTGGTATGATGCTGACAACTCTGGCTGAGGACAGCAAGTGCCCCTTGGCTGGACCAAGCACCAGCTTTCACTCAAGAGAGCTTTAAACAAGTGGGCCTGAGGGCTTGATCTGCCCTGAGTTGAGTTTTGCTTGCACTGCACAGTATTTTTAGATACAATTGGGCTAATACCTAAAAAACAAGCTATGGCACATAAAAATCTGAACTGACATTATGGGCTAAAGTGTGTCCCTCTCCACGTGTATAAGTTGAAGTTTTAAATCCTAGTACCTCAGATGTGACCTTATTTGGTCTGTAGAGGTTAAGTTAAAATGAGGTCATTAGGGAAGGTTCCAACCCAGGAGGACTGATGTCCTATAAAAGGGGTATTTGGACACAGAAGCTCTCGTCCAGGGAGAATGCCTGGCGAACATGAAGGTGGCCATCTGCAAGCCCAAGGGGAAGCCTGACGGAAGGAGCAGCTCCTGCCTCCCAGTCCTCAGAAGGTACGGTGCCAAAATGCTGACCTCCCACTTCTAGCCTCCCACAGTGAGATAGTCAACTTCCTAAGCCATTCGTTTTGTGGCATTTTGTCACAGGGTCCCTAGCAAACCATCACCTGCCTTGAGGGGAAGGACTGTGACCTGGCAGAGCTGGGGGCCGGATGTGAGTGCGCTGCTCCCCTTCAGACGGGCCCATGTTCTCCAGTATTCCGGTCCTGTGTTCTGGACACCTGGATTTTCAGATTTTGGTGACAGTTGCCAGTGCTGTCTATGGGACTCATTTGCCTGTGCATTCTTCTCTCAGGGACAGCCTTCAGTTCACACCCAGAAGGATGTACCCCAAACAGCACAGGCACATGAAACAAGGGGGTTGGCGCTGACACCGAAGGCTGTGACATGAGTATCCCAGGTCACGGTGTCCTCCCCAATAGCCCAGGCACCAGGCCCCTCTCTTCTCCAGGACCCAGGAGGCCAAGCCCCACGCCGCTCTCAATAGGCCTTTGTCCCTGACTGGGAAAGGCACGGGCAGAGTCTGACATCATAAAGCCTGATGTGGGGATAGGACTCTCCTTCCCCCTCCATCCAGCCTTCTCTCACTTCTCAATTCCCTGTCTGAGGGATTCCCCGCCCCTCAGCCCCCATCCTCCCAGTTTCTCCCTTAGGAGGAAGGACACTCCCTCCCTCCCTCCCCACCAAAGATGCCCCAGTGTGACTGAGCAGCTCACAGTCAAAACACTGCTGCACTTAACCAAACCACTGCAGCTCCCACCACCACTTTGCAAAGATCATGCCAATGGAAGGGTCTTGATGGCAGGAGGAACACGTGGAATCTGCCCACAGAGGGTCCCCACCCTGCTCAGAGTCAGCACAGCCCTCAGCAAACACCGTTGGGGCTCTATTCTAGGAGCATAAGACAGACAGACAGACAGACAGACAGACAGAGAGAAACTGCCCTCTGGAAGACCCTGGCTGGTGGGGAAGGAGCTCATGATAGTGCGGATGAGTGCTGTGGAGGGACTCGGCTTGGTGAGAAGGCAGGTGGCTTTCAGAGGCATGGCATCCACTCAGTGGCTTTGGCCAGGGCAGAGTGGGCATGGGGCGAGGTAGAGGAGCTTTCCAGGAGGAAGAGATAAGTATAGAGGCCTCCAGTCAGAAGGTGCCACAGGGTATCGGACGCATGCATCCACCCTGCATTTACGAAGCTCAGCTGCGCCAGGAGCCTTGCTACAACCAGGAAAGATTGGGAACAAGCAGGCAAAGCCCTCGTCCTCCTGGAGGTCATGTGCTCTGAGAGGAGACAGTCAATACCTAAGGTCATTTCCGATGACAAGAAGAGCCTAGAAGAAAATAGACCAGGATGCAGGCACCACTGTGACCAGGGAAGTGACTGTAAGGGAGGGGGAGGTGACACAAGCCCAGAATGGCAAGGTCCTGTCTCCTCTCCCGCCCACAAGGGCTTCTTGCCTCTCATGACCAGGGCTGTACCTGTCATTGTCACCAAGATTCCCCGGATGCTGAGGACAATGCCTTCCGTTTCTGTCTGAGATGTTCAGAGATATTAGAACGCCCCCCCCCCCCCAGGTCTCCAAACCAGGGTGCACAGCAATGCAGGAGAGGGGAGCAAGTGAGGCAGCCCCCATCCCCTCCAGGAAGGAGCTCGTAGAACCCAGGCATCAGGCTGCCCAGTGGAGCCTTGGTGACAAGGGCCCTTTGTGCCCCCCTCCCCCGGGGACAGGGAGGAGCTGGGCCCTGGAGGCAGGCAGTCCCTGGCACCCACGGGGGTGGGGGAGCGGGAAGGAGGAGCCGGCAAGTGGGGGCCTAGACCCTGGGAGGCCAGGGGACTGTAAGCAGGCGTGAGGAGCACAGGGTACAGACAAGGAGCATCCTGGTGAGTACACAGCAGCCAAGAGGGGTTGGGGGCAGGGTGGGAGCAGAGGGCCATGACTGAGAGGGTGAAGTGGGGGCAAGGTGAGGATGGTCGCTGCGAACTGCCACTAATTTAGGACTGGAGGGTGTTCCTGGGGAGTTTGGAATGAGCGGGGACCATGGCAGGACAGTGACGGGGCTTTGGGAAGAAACTACAGGGAGAGCAAGAAGGGCCCTCCTCAGCACCCCTAGCCAGGGAGGTTCTGCTGCCCTGGGGCTTCCAAGTTTGGGGCAGATGTGGTGGGAATGGCCTGGTGTGGGAGGGAAGAGCTGATTAGGTACCTGCATCCTGCCCTCTGGGAGGGGGTAAGGCAGTGGGCTTTGAGTGAGCAAGTTCCAGCTCCTGGGGCACAACAAGGGGTGTGTGTGTGTGTGTGTGTGTGTGTGTGTGTGTGTACGTGTGTGTGTGTGTGTGTGTGTGTGTGTGTGTGTGTACCATCCTGGATGGGTTTGAATTTACATAAATGTTTGTCAACCTTCTTTTCATTATACCCCCACCAAAAAATGTTTAGACCTGCTTTTCCTAAAGCCCACTGCCCCTGTGAATTTCACTACTACAGCTGTGCCGGGCATGCTTATGGCCCTGGAGAGTCACAATCACTGCCATCGTCTGCCTGGGTCCACCAGTATGTGTCTGGGCAGGTCTGTCCTAGCTACACGTCAGCTGTGTGTCTTTGTGAGCACGGCACGCAGGCAGGTCCATGTGCATGCCTGAACGAGGTGCCAATGTCAGTGCAGATGTGCTTCTGTGACCGTGTGTGCCAACACAGTCTGCGGGCACAGGGGTCTCAGTGCCTGTTCACACTTAGGTCCTGAGCAGGTGTCCACATGAGTGTCTATGGTACAAGCCTGCTCCTCTGGCTGGGTCTAGATCTATCATATTTCACAGCAGCATTTGCATGTGTCTGGCTGTGTATGCTTCTGTGTCTGTGGGAAGAGGGTTGTGAAGGCCTGGAAAGGCAGCCACTTGGAGACCCTGTCTCCAACTCAGAGGGGACCTACAGAGCAGCGAGAAGGGTCTCCTGACCTCCCAACCCCTGGTCCTTCCTGGCCCCACATAGAGCTGAGCACCCCTGTCCCTGTCTTCTCTCACCCCACCTACCCCAGGAGTCCCCCGAGATGCAGCACCCTCCCCATGAGGGAACAGGGCTCTTTTGTGCTGGGCACTGGCCTCTGCTGAGGGTGGGGAAAGCAGGGGCTGTCTGTGGGGTGGGAGCGGGCGGCAGGAATTCACACGGCATGTTGGGAATGCTGATGCTGTGAAACCCAGTCATTGATGGCACTGAGTCTCTGCCTACCACCCCCAGGGCTCCCCCCACTCACCTCATCCCCTCCCCCCCACAAGGCTCTGTCGCTCCCTTTCCTTCCCCACAGTTCTCCACGGCAGTTTGGTGGGGTGGGGGGTGACCCTGTGTAGAGTAGCTGCGAGGCTGTGTGGGAGGGGCCTGAGCATCCAGGGGCAGGCAGCCTTACAACAGGCAGCAGCTCACAGCACATGCTGAGCTCCTGCCCCCTCGCTCCTGTCTGTCTCCTATTCCAGGCTGGCAGGCTGACATCTTCAAGTGGGTCCAGAAGACATCCCCAACTCAGGGAGACTGAGGTGAGGGGCAGGGTTCCTTCTCCGGGCTCCCCCTTCTTCCTGCCGCTGGTCCAGCGTGGCTCTGTCATTACTTCCTGAGGGTCTCAGGGGCACCAGGTGCTGGAGATCACTGTCAGCATCTTACACCACGTAGAGACGGGACAGTTGGGGGCTAAGTCTGCACCCCTGGAGCCGGGCAGATAGGGCTGTCCTAGTTGATGCTTGCCAGCTGTGTGGCATGGACAGGTTGCTCAACCTCTCTGGAACTCAGTTGTAAAAGGAGGGTAACAATTGCCCCTGCCTCAAAGAGAGTGAATGAGTTAGTACAGCAGATCAAGCTCTGAGGACCGGTACCTGGTCAACGCCATAGAAATGTTTGTAATATAAATATTAATAGCAGCAGCGCCTACGTCTGAACAACCCCCCTCCTGATGCCTTATTAGAAAGCCCCTTCCCCTGACCCTTCACCCCTGCCATGCCTTCTCCAGCTGTCATCACACGCTGCACAAAATGATATTCCTCACAGCACTGCCCCTGTTTTGGATCATGATTGCAGGTAATGCTGGGAAGGGGGTTGCTGGGATTCTGGGGCCTTGGCCCCACGCAGGCTGGGCTTGTGTCTGTGGGTCCCCGGATGAGAATGGGAGCAGGTGATTCGGTCAGGACATGTCCCTTGGCCTCAGCAGCCCTACTCACCCACAGCCTCTCGAGGGGGTCACTGGGGTGCCTGGATGCCCTCGTCCATCTCGGCCTTCGAGGGCACATGCGTCTCCATCCCCTGCCGCTTTGACTTCCCTGACGAGCTGCGGCCTGCCGTTGTGCATGGCGTCTGGTACTTCAACAGCCCCTACCCGAAGAACTACCCCCCCGTGGTCTTCAAGTCACGCACCCAAGTCGTCCACGAGAGCTTCCAGGGCCGCAGCCGCCTCCTGGGGGACCTGGGCCTGCGCAACTGCACCCTCCTGCTCAGCAACCTCAGCCCCGAGCTTGGCGGCAAGTACTACTTCCGCGGGGACCTCGGGGGCTACAACCAGTACACTTTCTCGGAGCACAGCGTCCTGGACATCATCAGTGAGTCCCCGGGGTGCACAGCAGGGGGCAGGGGCCTCCCTGGGGCAGGCAGGGGTAGCAGGAAGTCCTCCCAGCACAGACCCAGGGGCTTGTTAAGCTGGGAGGTGCAAAGCCGCTGCCCACACGGACCAGGCAGAGGACAGAAATGAGTGAAGCGGGGCCCCAAGCAGTCTCATGGCCCTCAAAGAGAAGGTGGGGGGAGGATAGGGCTAAGGTCTCTTGATTGCTGCATTCGCTGGGCAACTGTGGGAAAGTTACTTAACTTCTTTGAGCCTTGGCTTCCTCTTCTGCAGTGGGGGCGGGGGCAGCATGTGAGCTCAGTGAGTGATGCTTGTCAAGTGCTCAGAGACGTGCTGGCACGTGGCACCAGTTCTGCTGGCCGCTCTGGGGAGAATGCAGAGCCTTTGCTGCTTGGCAGTTTGAATTTGAAAAAGAAACCAGAATTGTGTATTTCCTATGATCTCCTAATTCCTAAACATTAGCTGCTGGTTTAGATAGATATTTAAATTCCTAAATGTAGGCCCCATAAAATGCAGTTCTGGGCCAGATTGGACCATCAGAGCAGGACCCACTGCTGGACTTCAGACATTCCTACTGCCAAGTGCCTGAGAAGCCTGCCTGCCTAGAGCTCTTAGGCTCAGGCTCCCCAGCAGTGAGTCTGTAAGAAGAGCTGGATGACAGGCCTGATGCAGAGAGAGACCCCCCTCTCCATGCATGCCCCCCCACACATGGAAGTAAATCAAGTCAAACACTGGGAGGAGACAGGCTTCTTTAGGAATATGTTGTAGTGTCCTGGCACAGGTGATCAAGCCAGGGTGACAGGGTTTGAAGCTCAGTGTTACCGCTGTGGCCTCAGTCTCCGCAATGCAGAAGGAGTGAAGTAGTTACCTGCCTGCTAGCGCCTGGAAGGCAAATACAACGCTGTGAAGGACTCAGACCAGCACATTGTTGTTCCTTTACTATCACACGTGGTTGGCTCTGTGAGGGCTCTGGGTGAAGGGAATCAGGCAGACAGAACATTTCAGGGAATTCTGTATCCAAGGGGAGGGAACCAGGTATCAGGATTGGAGCTGGTCAAGTGGGGATGTCTGCTTCCTCTATCCTCCTTCTCCCTGCCCATGCAGACACCCCCAACATTGTGGTCCCCCTGGAAGTGGTGGCAGGCACGGAAGTGGAGGTCAGCTGCTTGGTGCCTGACAACTGCCCGGAGCTGCGCCCGGAGCTGAGCTGGCTGGGCCACGACGGCCTGGGGGAGCCGGCTGTACTGGGCCGGCTGCGCGAGGACGAGGGCACGTGGGTGCAGGTGTCACTGCTGCACTTCGTGCCCACCAGGGAGGCCAATGGCCTTCGGCTGGGCTGCCAGGCCTCCTTCCCCAACACCACCCTGCAGTTCGAGGGCTACGCCAGTCTGGACGTCAAGTGTAAGCCCGGGTGCCATTGGGGGTGGGGGTGGGGGTGGGGGTGGGGCCTGTGGCACCGGCCTGCTGATCCCACTGTGTCCTTGGCCTCAGACCCCCCTGTGATTGTGGAGATGAACTCCTCCGTGGAGGCCATCGAGGGGTCCCACGTCGGCCTGCTCTGCGGGGCAGACAGCAACCCGCTGCCGCTGCTGACCTGGATGCGGGACGGCACGGTGCTTCGGGAGGCCGTGGCCGAGAGCCTGTTCCTTGAGCTGGATGAAGTGACCCCCGGGGAGGACGGCGTCTACGCCTGCCTGGCAGAGAACGCCTATGGCCAGGACAACCGCACCGTGGAGCTCAGCGTCATGTGTGAGTGGCCGCCCTGAGGACTCGCCTGGCACTGGCCTGCAGAGTGGGGACTGGGGCAAAGGGGCCCTGCCCGGGGGGGGGGGGGGGGCGCGTGGGGCCATCAGGAACAGAACTGTGGTTGAGGAAAGATGGAGAGGAGGCTTGTGGGTCTAGGCATTCATTCATTCCTTCATTCTTTGCACAATCATCTAGTGAACAGCTACTCTGCACCACTCTCATGCCTAGGACAGGAGCAGAAGACAGATGTGGTCCCTGTCACCCAGGAAAGCTGGTTTTATTCCATTTCTGGGACAGCCTGGATGATCCGGGAATAGATCGGGGACTGGCCCTAGGAATCTAAATTTTAGATGAGTCCCATTGCAGTTCTAATGGGAGGGTAGTGGGGATCCCAGGCCTGACCCAGCCCATTGTGTGCACCTGTACTTATGGAGCCCCAGAGCAGGGGGCTAATCAGACAGGATTCTTAGCTATGAACCCAGGAGAGGTCATTCACTCATTTTTCATTCACAAATACTGATTGAGGCAAAATGCCAGGGCTGTGGATAATAATAATGACAGCTACAGCCAACGTTTACTCAGCAGTTTCTGACTACTTTACACAAATGCTCTTCCCCCAGGCATCCCAGAGGCTGGCTCCTCCCACCTCCTCCTACTCTCACTGAAGCCTGCCCTCACCATCCTAGTTAAAATAGTAACCACCCTAACTTCCCATCCCTCCCTTTATTTTTCTCCAAAGCACTTATCCCAAATTTGCCAATGATTATTTTATTTACTGACATGGCCACTACCCACACGGGCAGGGATCTTCCTCCACCTCGTTCAGGCTGGAGCAGTGCCTGTGACTTGAGTTCTCAGTTACTGCTGTGGAATTAGAACTGTCATTAAGCCCATTTTTCAGATAAGAAAAAATGAGGCCACAGAGGTTAAGTAAGACATAGGTCCACACACAGCTGGAAAGAGCAGGCCGGATTGAGACACAGGCATTCTGGCTGCAGAGCCCCTGTTTTGTAAACAGGACAGCCAGGCCTGGGCTCCCAAGCCATCCTGAGCTGCTGTGCTTGGGTTGGGGTGTATGGGTCACATTTGGGGGTAGAAGTTGGCTGACTGAAGAGGTACCTCCTGCATCTGACCATCACCCCCTGCTCTGCCCCCCCAGACGCACCCAGGAAGCCAACAGTGAACGTGACAGTGGTGGCTGTGGAGGGGGAGACGGTCTCCATCTTGTGCTCCACAGAGAGCAACCCAGATCCTATTCTCACCATCTTCAAAGAGAAGCAGATCCTGGCTACAGTCATCTACGAGAGCGAGCTGCAGGTGGAGCTGCCGGCTGTCACGCCTGAGGACGATGGAGAGTACTGGTGTGTGGCCGAGAACCAGTATGGCCAGAGGGCCACCGCCTTCAACCTCTCCGTGGAGTGTGAGTATGCCCCCTCCCCCCATCCCACTGAGAGGTGGCTTGACTTGTGTCTCCCCTCCACCTGAAGTAGATGGTTCTGGAGGGACATCTGGGTAACTGGGGGTACCCACATATCCCAACCGAGAGTTAGTGTTGCACCAGCAGGTAAGGATGGGGAAGGCAGGAAAGTGGAATCCACAGCAAGAAAGTGCCAGTCCCACCTGAGAACACTTGTCTCCACATCCTGGAGTTTAACCAGGGAGACCTGGGTCCCGTGACCATGCCCCTTTAACTAAAATAGTAACCATGACATCTAACCCTTGTGGAGCATCCCTATGTACCGGCATTGTTGGAAGCTTCATCCTTATGACATCCCTATGAGGGGGTTCCATCACTGCCCTTGGCTTCTAGAGAAAGGAGCCGAGGCCCAGAGACGTTATGCCACTTGCCGAAGGTCACACAACTAGGAAATGGCAGAATTTTGGGATTGGAATCCAGGCAGTTTGGTTCCACTCTTCCGTAGCTCCCAAAGCTTACATCATCCTGCATTATCACATCAGAATACACTCAGGGGTCTAGCAGTGGTTATGTGCAAATTGCTGTGAGGCTCTGTGAGAGGCGGGGAATGGCACCAAGAAGACACAAGCTTATAACAGACATAAGCCAGAGAGATGAGCTGGACGCACAGACAAAGCTAACTGCCTTGGAAATGAAACTCAGTGTTCCACTGCCAGCTGGGCCTCTCCAGCAGCCTCTCTATGGATAGCACCACTAACACACTGACACCCACTGGCCACCATTCTGGGTTGTTGCTCCCAAGTCAGAGTTTTGACCCCCTCTCCTTCAGCAACTCTCTCTGGAATGTCACCTCCATACTTCCATTTCTCCTGCCTCCTCCTCAGCTCTGACCTGATCTCTGGTGCTAGTCTCCAACCTTCCCTACTTTCAACCTCAATTACTTCACTTACAATGGTTCCCACCACACAAGTCTGCCAGAAGATGCTGAGCACAGTCCATATGTGATATTCTGCATGTATGGTGATAATCAATACATTGTAGCTATAGCTCATTCCCGGAGTGCCATCTTCCAGGGCAATGCCACAGCCATCCACTCCTTTGCTGACCTTTCATCTCTGGCCACATTCCCTTCAGTCTCTGATGACTCACAGCACCCAGTGTGGTCACCATGGATGGGCTTTGTGGCACTGTCTTCTCCATGTGTGTCCTTTGGGCCCAGATTCCCTCTTCTGATGTATCCTCTTTTCTGTCACACCTCAAGCCAGTGGTCCTTAAGTTTAAGAGTCAGAACCTACTGAACATACACACGACACCATCTCATGTACATTGTCAGTCAACCTCCACCCCCCCTGCATAGTAAGAGTAATTGCAGCAAATGGCCATCAAAGGCCTATTCTGGGTCATGATTCCATCCAAGGTGTGGCTTTGCTGGGTCCTCCTGGTGGCCTGTGAAGCAGGTGTATGTTATCATTAGTCCTTAACTAAGTACAATGAAGGTCAGAATTCCCCCATGCTCAGACAGCTAGGAAGGATGGTCAGAGCCAAGATTCTCCTGGACTCCTGTCTGCCCCAGCTATTAAACCTTGGCTGCTTCACCTCCCCTTCACCTCCCTTGGGTGCGGGTCTTAGCACCCAAGGACTCACTTAGCCTTGATTAAAAACAAATACATCAAAAGAAAGAAATGTAGAGAAGCAACAAACATCTCCCTACCTCCCACCCCCCCGCTAAGCTCCTTGGGCATCTCCAAGGCCTGTGTCACAGTGCTTTCCCTCTAGGAGTGCAGCTTCAGTCCTAAAGTCTATGTCCCCCAGCACCTGGCTTAGTGCCCACTGACAATGGTGGGCACCCAGTCTGGGCAGGGCTCCCAGCCTTACCTGCCCACCCCAGAGCCCAGCATGGCTTGGAGATTGCAGGAGGCTCTCACCCTTACAGAGTGTTTGCAATATGCAAGCAACAAGTCTGAGCTTTTTGCCTGTATTGGCAATTTTATTCTCACAACAATGTGATTGGGAGAGGGGACTGTTGTTCTTTACCCCAAACCAGTTTAAGAGGAGAAAACTGAAATGTTACTGGTACCAAGTAGCCGAGAGCTGAATCACCTGGGTCTGTATGCCAGCTCTTTGTCTTACTGTACCATCTCAGACAACAGACTTCACCTTTACTGAGCCTAAATCATTTCCTCTGAAAAAATGAGTGTGATAAGAGTATCTTACTCCAAAGTTGAGTATGAAGCTATGAAAATGATGGTGATCTCCCACAGCATCTGACACTTCCTGTATGTTCCATAAGTCGGCCTCGTTGGCTCCCACTCATCTTCCAGGCTGGATGTCCTCTCTGCATTCTGAAGCCAAGGCTTTGCTCACATGCTCCCTCTGCTGGAACGGTTCTATTTTTCTAATCGATGTTAATTGTCTTTACGGCCCAGCCATGTGCCTATCTTCAGAGTTCCTGTAGGCCCTGTGAGTTAAGGACCATTACCCCTGTTTGCATAAATGAGAACTCCATCTTGGAGGCCCAAGGATGCTGAGGGCCTGATTGAGAACACCAGCCAGTAGATGGCCACTTGGGATTTGTCTAGGGTCAATTGGGGTGTCCCAGTTGCCTGCAAAGCTTTGAAAATGCTAAGCACATGCAGGCTGGGTGCCAGCATTCCCACAGCATCTCAGGCAGACGTGGTCATGGTGTAGTCTTGAACGAAAGATTTTCTTAATTTAATTGTTTCTGTTTGTCAATATTGGTTTGTTTTGTAGTGCATTAATTTGTTAACACTATAGCAAGCATGGTGTATGCTGCCTAAGCAGAATTGGGGGTATTCAACTTTTGATTTACTAGACTTAGATATGTGTACGCATTGAGGTTTTGATTAGAATCATCTTTATTATGTATACATCTGGTCACATGACTCCCTGGCCCGTCACTGTCACCTGCATGTCCTTGAGTTCTGGTCAGAACTGAGAACCAGAACTCAGGCTATGGTAAGCAGAAGGGAATGCTCAACTCTCCAGGAGGAAATGAGAATATAATTTTAAAAAGCAGCATTCAAATTTCAATGATAATTTCATATTTTGGAAAATGAAAGAAAATCATCATACCTGTACTATTTTTTTAAAAATAAAATGGCAGTACTGCAAAGCTCAACAGAAATTTGGGTGGAGGGTGGTGCTGAGTTCGAGTGGCACTGAGACTCTCGTGAGGGAGGGCCAGAATGCAAGGGGGCTCCGCAACGTCAGCAGGGCCATCTGCAGGACGGCCTGAAAGGGGAGCGGCAGAGTGCAATAGGCCACCCCATCCATACGCCTTCCCGGAGCTCTGCCACAGGAGAGACATGATGTAAGTGTGGGCCACCAAGCGAGACAGAATAAGAGTCCGTCTTGGTGGCAAAGAGAGACAAGCCGTATCAATAGGTAACCCGGGTAGGAATGAGTGCTGGGCAGGAGACTGAGCGGGACCGAGTGACGCAGTGAAGCGAGGTGGTAAAGGAGAGGATCCTAGTGGTCTGAGTAGAACCTTCATGGAGCGAAGAAGTGAGTTGGGAAGGTGCCTCAGGGAGTGTTCCAGGCTGAGGGAGAACCAAATACCTGGTGGGAAACAGCTCCACGAACGCGAGAAACGCGGGAGGCTGGTGTGACGGGAAGGAACAAGCCTTGCAGGGTAACACACAGAGGTCAGAGTACGGCTCGGTCCTGCGGGGTCTCGCAGACCAAGGCGAATAAATTGGATTGTATTCTAAGTGACACAGAGCAGTTGGAGGATAGGTTTGAGCAGGGAGCACCGTGATGTGATTTAAGTTTTGCGAGGCGGGCAGAGTTAGGCCTGTAAAGGGACGGTGTGGAGAGGAAAACACAGCTCGCCTCGATGACGGCTGTGCGGGCTCTGGGCCCTCAGCCAGGGAGTCCTGGCTCCAGCCCTCTCAGTCCGACTTTGCCCCTGCAGTTGCTCCTGTGATCCTCTTGGAGTCCCACTGTGCAGCGGCCCGCGACACGGTGCAGTGCCTGTGCGTGGTGAAGTCCAACCCGGAGCCCTCGGTGGCCTTCGAGCTGCCCTCGCGCAACGTGACCGTGAACGAGACGGAGCGGGAGTTTGTGTACTCGGAGCGCAGCGGCCTCCTGCTCACCAGCATTCTCACGCTGCGGGGACAGGCCCAGGCCCCGCCCCGGGTCATCTGCACCTCCCGCAACCTCTACGGCACCAAGAGCCTGGAGCTGCCCTTCCAGGGAGCCCGTGAGTGGCGGGGTCTGGGGCTGGGAGCCACAGGGACAGAGGGGGCTCCTCCTGGATCCTGGCTCCTCTCCCCAAGGCTGACTGACCATCAGCCACAGCCTGGGTCAGGCCACGCAGGTGGGTCATCTGGTAAAGCGGTCCCTCTGGACAGGAAGGAGAGGCCGCGCCGAGTTTGCCTAGGCTGTCCTGGGCCGTGCCAGGCCCTCCAGGCTAATCAGTCAGGGAAGGATATTTTTCACTATCGTTAATGTCCCAGTCTGTCTCCCAAGAACCCAGGCGTGCTCACTCCCACCAGCAGTCTGAGGGCCCCTGGGTTTTCTCTGTCCTCAGACCGCCTGATGTGGGCTAAGATTGGGCCCGTGGGAGCCGTGGTTGCCTTTGCCATCCTGATTGCCATTGTCTGCTACATTACCCAGACGCGCAGAAAGTGAGTGCCCCACTGGGGCCGACCTGGGGGAGGGGAGAGACGGCCGGTGGGGAGGGAGGCTGTGGGCTAGGCAGGGGAGGGCAGCCCTGTGTAGGTGGGAAGGTGTGTTCTGCTCTGAAGATGCTCCACTGGATGGAGGAGAAAGGAGTCCTGCTTCCGTGAGCCACTACAGGTCAGCCTGTGCCAGTGCCTGAGCCAAGACTTTCCACCAGTCATCTCCTGTTGCTGCTCCCGCCCTCGTGCCCTCCCAGAGGTGTGATGGGGAAGCCAGCTTCCCCTGGCTTGCAGCTAGGTCACAGGTGGTTCCAGAAGTGCCAGTGACCACACACATCTGTGGCAACACAAATGCTCCCCAGCCCAAACCACACCCCCCTGCCACCGCTGTGCTGCTGCTTTCTTCCTCGTGGCTCTACTGAAAATGAGTTAATCTCCCTGCTCCATATCTTGGCAGCAGGAGGGACAGACAGACCCAGAGCAAATGAAGAGAACCCAGAGAAGCCAGGCGGGGTCCTGAACAGCGGTGGAGACCAGGGGCCACACGCAGGGGAGGGGTGGACAGTGGTGGACAGGAAGGGCTGGCCATTGAAGAGCCCTCTGCCCCACCTTAGAGAGATGGGTGGGATCAACTCGGGTCCCTTGGGCCAAATTGCTAAGGTAGATGAGGGTCTAGAGAGGGAGGGGGAGGGAGACCTGGGAGTCCCACTGGGGCTCGCATTTCCTGCCCAACAGAAAGAACGTGACAGAGAGCCCCAGCTTCTCCGCAGGGGGCAATCCCCCAGTCCTGTTCAGCAGTGACTTCCGCATCTCGGGGGCACCGGAGAAGGTGAGGGCCGGAACCCTGCGGCTCCAGGCTAGTTGGAGACCCTAAATGTCGGGACACTGGGGTCCTGGGAGAGGCCTGGGAGGCCAAGGGGTGGAGGGGAGGTCATGCTCCTTAGGAGGGACAAAGAGGAAGTGTGGAGGGCTGGCTTGGACCTAGGCTGGGAGGGGAGCTGAGGCAGAGACTGTGAAGGGGACTATGGGACTCAGGCCCAAGGGAAGCCCTGAGGTAGGTCTATGACCGCATTTCCTTCTCCAATAGTCCAGAGTGGTCTCTACCCTGGAATGAGCGCCCAGGAGGTAGGTTCTGGGGGCCTCCGTGTGCCTGCTCTGGGCCCTCGGTGGGCCTTGGGGCTGTCATGCATATGTGTAGTCCAAGATGGTCCCTGGTTAAGTCTGCCCTGCCCAGCACTCCTAGCCTTGTTTATCCTGTCCCACTGCTACTCCCTGCTGTCTGTCTGTCTGTCTGTCTGTCTTTGGCTGTTCTATGTGTCTGTCCAAAGGCTTATGTGTGTGTATGGGGGGGAGGGTGGATGGGAGGTAGAAAGCATGAAGCGGAAGCCAAAGCCACACCTACAGGATCACCAAGATTGAGGGGGGACATGTACAAACATTTGGAAAAGTGAAATCTGACTAGGTAGCTTTACTCTGGGAAGATGTTATGGATTGAATTGTGTGCCCCCCAAATGCCTATGTTGAAGAAGTTTTCCTGAAGACATTGAATTTGTAGGCAACTTTCAGGCTAAGCGATGAGGAGGGTGGTGTGAGGGGGGATTGGCATGGGAAAAGGTTCTGGAGTGGGACGTGGGACTGTGGGGCTGGCTGGGCTGAGAAAAGAGGTTCACATGGGGCTCTGTGACTCACCTGGAAGTATGGGGTGCTAGCGACTCCAGCCTTTGCATCTGGAAAAGGTGGAACGGGACCCTTCTAATGCGTTGGTTCCCTTCATAGAGTGAGAGGCGCCTGGGATCTGAGAGGAGGCTTCTGGGCCTTCGGGGGCAGCACCCAGAGCTGGACCTGAGCTTTTCTCACTCGGACCTGGGAAAACGACCCACCAAGGACAGCTACACCCTGACAGAGGAGCTGGCCGAATATGCTGAGATCCGCGTCAAGTGAGGGAGTTGGCCGAGGGCTCCCTTCTGCCCCAAAGTACTGGGGGTCGAGGCAGGAAAGGGAGGGAACAGGCGACAGCAAGGCCCCAGGGGTCTGGCCCCCCATCCTTCCCAGCTGCCCCTACCCTGCCAGCACCACATCCTCACAGTGTGGCTCTCCTCTAACCTCCTTTAACCTCATCTGTCTGGAGGGGAGTTTTGTCTGTGTGTTATTTATTGCTATCCCCTGCCTGGTCTCCTCCCCTGCACCTGGCCCCGGGGTATACTGAAGGGACATGGAATAAATGCCCCAAAGCCAAATGCCTGTCTAGAGCCTGATGATTTCTGACCTGTCCCTGCAGGAGACTTCCATCCCCCTCCTTTCCCACTGCTGGGCCCTAAGTGTGGGCAAGGCCCAGGGATTCTAGCCCTGAGCCCAGGCCAACCACCATTAAGTTGCTCCCACTCTGAGCTGTGGGCTGGATCTGGCTCACAACATGCTTTATTTGACTTCTGGTTAATTTCACATAACTACCCTCATTCCAGCCTCCGCCACAGTCAGAGCAACTGACAGTGTTACGCTTGTACTTGACCCCCACAGCTGTGACTCACTGGAAGAGAAGGGTTAGGGGCTCCCTGTTTGCCACAGCTCCCACCTTTTCCTGTTGTCCCACACCTGGCTGGCTTCCCTCACTCACTGACGTGCCTCTTGTGCCCTGAAGGTCAGGGGAGACCCCAGGCCTTTTCATGAGCCTGTGTTGGTTTGACTGCCATCCTTCACGTTCATGCTTCCCTCAGCCATTTCAGTCTTCAAACTTTACTCCATTTGCTTCAAGAAACATTGTTTAGGTCCCAGCTGTGCGTTGAACCCATTCAGGAGGCTCAGGCTGTCCTGGGAAGGGACTCCCAGGACAACCCTGTATAGATGAAAACACTGAGGCTGGGAGAAGCTAGATGATTCTTCCAGGGTCCTGGGGCCAGTAAATGATGTGGCCAGGCTCTTGACCCGATTCTTTTTTCTAAAAAACCTGTCAAGAATTTAAAGAAGGCCAGTCCCTGAGTGGCATCCTCACAGGAGATTTACTAGCCACACCTCCTGACTTCCCAGGGGAAAGTCAACTTCCCTGTTGAGGTTGTAAATTTGTCAGCTGGCTGTGGACAACCCGGGCCTGTGGTCCAGACTCTCTTGGAAGACTCTTGAGATGGTTTGGGTAGACACATGGAAAGACTGCATTGGGTGGCTCTAGGGCGGGCCATTTCCCCCAAATAGCACTACTGACCTTGTGCAGAGCCCTCCCTTCACATGGCTCTGTTTCTGCCTGATGAATGCTGCTGATCTCACCCTGCCTCACCACAAACGTCCACAGGTCCCTGGAAGGTGGCAGGTGGCCTTGGTGTATCCTGAGACTTTTGCTGAGTGGCCTCAGACCCAGCACTGGTGCCGAATTTGAATCTGTATGAATCTGGTGAACACCCCTTGCCCCTACCTGGTCACTCACTGAGAACCTACTTCATGCAACTTGGGTACTTCCCAGAGGCTTTTTCATGACCGAGCTTAACAGCCAGCCAGCAGGAGGAGATGAATCTAGGATTTCAGGTGTCTAGGGTGCTTTGCTGACCAGCTTGATGCTAATGGAAGCTGGTCTTGTTATGTAGGTTGGCCCCACCCATGTGCACCCTGGTCAAGTAGGGGCAGCCACAAACTGTGGATTGCATTGCATCTCTAAACAGGTAGCCCAGGGACGTTCACAAAAAGGATCTGACATTGAACTACACCCGAATCCCTCCCAAGAGGCCTCAGAAGCAACACACCTGGTGGCAGAATTCAGACCACATCAGAGTATGACCCAATTACCTCTACAACCAGCACATCAAAAGAGAGATGTTGGCAGGCACCAGGGCTGCTGGGATGAATTCTGTTATGTGGGGTCAGCCCTTTCACAGCTGCTCGTACACTGTGGTAGGGTCAATCCTCATAGTCAGCTGGGCTCAACTACAACCAGAGGCTCACATAATCCTCTCAAGTTTCCTAGAGCACGTAGTGCAGGTGATCAGTGAGATTCCACCACCAAGCCCAGAAAACACCTACTACATAAGGCCACCATGCCAAGACTGGGAACATAGCAGCTCTATCTAATATACAGAAACAAATACTGAGAGGCAGCCAAATTGAGAGACAAAGAAATATACTCCAAATGTAAAAACAAGAGAAATCCCCAGAAAAAGAACTAAATGAAATGGAAGCAAGCAATTTAACTGATATAGCTTTCAAAACAATAATTATAATAATGCTCAAGAAACTTAGGGTAAGAATAGATAAACTCAGTGAGAACTTATACAAAGAGATAGTAACCATAAAAGAGGACATCTTCACTAATAATAGAGGAATATGCAAATTGTCCAGGACACCACCAGAGTAATAGTAATGACTGAACAGCAGGCTGCGTGGGGCTACCAGTCTGGCAGGGGGGGCAGATGGGGGCAACCAGGAGGGCAGTGGGGGGGTGAGGGCAGCGAGGGGCAACCGGGCTGGCAGGAGGGGGCAGTTTAAGGGACTTCTAGGACAATACCAAGCATAACAACATCATATCATAAACTACCAGAAGGAGAAAAGAGAGTGAACAAGGGGCTGAGAACCTAGTTGAATAAATAAATGACTGAGAACTAAGAGGATCCAAGATGGCTGCTTGGGTAGACACCTAACCGCAGCAGCACACAACAATTTCAATGGAATACAACTAAAATGTAGAGTGGACATCGCCCAGAGCTACAGGTAGTTAACTGACTGAAAATTCTACAACAAGAAGGAAAGAGAAAACCAGAAGGAAAATCAGAGGAGCTGAAAAAAAGCCTAAGGTACGGAGACATGCTGCGCGCTCGCACGCACGCACGCACGCACGCACTCGCGCGCGGAGAGGTCGCAGCCGGAGAGCAGGAGAGGACTGGGTGCTGCCTGGTGTTCCCTAGCAGGAAGGAAATAAAACCCCCAGCCTGGGCTGAACCCCCGGAACCGGCAGCGCTGAGCCCCAGTTATGGGCCAGACCCTGGGGACCCAGGCTCCGGTGGGGGAGACGAGGCTGTGAGGCGGAATCCCAAGCGAGCAGCAAAAAGCAGGGCCCCCGGAGTCGCGCGCACATTGTGCGCAGAGGACTGAATGTTGACTCTGATGCTGGATTACCCTAGCGTGAAGAAACAAAGCCTCCGGTGGCGCTGAACCTCAGTCCGGACTGCTCTGAACCCCAGTCCTGGACCAGACCCTGGGGACCCAGGCTCGGGCAGGGGGAGACGGGGCTGTGAGGCAGAATCCCAGGGGAGTGGCGAAAAGCGGAGCCCCCAGAGTCGCGCGCACTGCGCCCAGAGGACAGTCTGTTGACTCTGATTCTAGACTCCCCTAGCGGGAAGGAGAAAAAAAAAAAAAGCTCCAGACTGGAGGAATGCGACAGGGAGCAGGAGCCCCTGCCGGACACCAGCCAGCGGGGCGCCGGCAGGGAGCCGGGTGATGGGGCCCCCAGGAGGGGGTGCCCCTGAGCCATCGACCTCTGAGCGCGGGCAATGGAGCCAAGGCGGGGGGCTGCTTCCTGGGGGGCGCCGACCCCAGCGACAGACTGGAGCAGCGCAGGAGCCCGCGGAGAACAAAGGGGTGCCACAGGCCAACCTGCTGAGCTCCCAGGACAAGGAGGAAGAAACCAAAGTTCTCAATGTGAAGAAATCAAGTGAGAGCAAAAGATAGTAAAATTACTTAAGAAAGAATACAAAGAAGATCTTGAAAAGTCAAAGACTAAGTCAGAACTCAACTCACCAGCCAACATTGCAACATAAATGCGTTTAAAAAAAAAAAATAAATAAAAGGACAGAATGTTGAAACAGTGGCGGCTAGGGGCTAGAGTGCCCAGGCACAAAGCAATGGCAACCAGGCCCGGAGCAGCAACGGCCAGGCCCCAGAGCAGCAGCAGCCAGAACCAGAGCAACAACAGCCAGCACTGGAGCAGCCAGACCTGGGGCAGTGACAGCCAGGCCTGAGGCGGAGGCAGCCAAGCCCAGGGTGGCCAGTCCAGGAACACCCAGACCCGAAGTGGCCGGGCCCGGAGAAGTCTGGCCCAGAGCAGCCGGGTTGGGAGCAGCCAGGTCCAGAACAGCAGTAGCCAAGCCTGGAGCATCCAGGCTGGGAGCGGCCAGACTTGGAGCGGCCGGGCCCGGGGCAGCCGGGCCCAGAGCAGCCGGGTCTGGTGTGGCCAGGCCCGGAGCAGCGGCTGCCAGGCTGGGAGCGGCCAGGCCCGGAGCAGCGGCTGCCAGGCTGGGAGCGGCCAGACCCGGAGCAGCCGGGTCTGGTGCGGCCAGGCCCAGAGCAGCAGCTGCCAGGCTGGCCAGGCCCGGAGCAGCCGGGTCTGGTACAGCCAGGCCCGGAGCAGCAGCAGCCAGGTCCAGAGCAACTAGGTCAAGAGCGGTGGTGACCAGACCTGGAGCAGCTGGTTGTGGAACGAACCAGAGCAACAGAGGCCAGGCCCGGAGCAGCCAGGCCCGGAACAGCTCGCTCCTCACCTGCCCCTGCCCCACGGCTGCCTCTCAGACATGGCTTGAAACTTTTGTGGGAACTTGAGGGTCTGCTGAATCAAGAGATGAAGGCTTAGATCTGGATGTGTTGAGTTAGTATAGGGCTGGGGTGTTGATCTTTGAGTGCCTTGGGTGGGGCCTGGATGAGGCTGGTTGACCTATTTGGAAATGTCTTTTGTGTGAAGTGTATCATTGGGCATGTGGTGGTATTATCGATATGAGAAAATGCTAAGTAACTGATTTACTATCTGAAAAGGGATTTACTATCGGGGAAAGGGAGGGAGGAAGAGACTGAACATAAACTGCACCTATGAATGAGGACAATGGGGGATGGGGAGGGGGCAGAGGGTGGGGTGGAAACCTGGTGGAGGGGGGAAGAAATGAGGAACCTTTGTAACAATATGAATAATAAAGATTGATTTATAATGAATAAATAAATAAATAAATGAATAACTGAAAACTTTCCTAACCTGGTAAAGGAAAACCCTCACACAAGTCCAGGAATCACAGAAAACCCCAAACAACCTGAACCCAAAGAGGTCCACACCAAGACACATCATAATTAAAATAGCAAAGACTAAAGACAAAGAGAAAATCTAAAAACAGACAGCTACCTGCAAGGGAGCTCCCATAAGAACATCAGTTCATTTCTCAACAGGAGCATTTCATGCCAGAAGTGATTGGCACAAAATATTCAAAGTGATGAAAGCAGGGACCTACAACCAAAATTACTTTACCCAGCAAAGCTTTCATTTAGATTTGAAGGACTAAAGAGCTTCCTACACAAGAAAAAGCTAAAGGAGTTCGTTACCACCAAACCAGTTTTTTTGTTTTGTTTTGTTTTGTTTTTAAAGAAAGAGACATTTTATTAGCATTGTTAAGGCAATGCATTAAATGAAGAAATCCTCAGTACACAGCCCACTCGAACTGCAGAGCAGATAAATCAGAGAGTGAAACTAATTATTGTACACAAGTGCAGACACAGGATCACCCTGAACCTCAAACAGAAGATTGAAAGTCACTTTACAAAAATAAATAAATAAATAAATAAATAAATAAATAAATAAATAAAGTAAATAAAAATAACACCCATTTTTCTATTTAAAAAAATGCCAGTTCTTGAGTGGCAGAACTTTAATGCTCAGCTGTGCAGCCTGTGGGGGCCAGGCCTGACTTGGCTTCTAAAGCTTAATTTAAGCACTGCAGAGTTTCCTCTTTTGAAGTGCTTCTGTTTTAAACTTTTCTTTCTGTTCTAATTTATGAACTGTGTCAGTCTAACAGTTAGCCAGTCTTCATCAGTTGTTAAGAGTAAAGGCCACAGAACCTCCCTTTGTAAGTTCATTTCTGATCTAGAATGAAAAGAAACTAAATACCAGAACCTTACAAAGTCAGGCAGTGGAGCAGCACCCATTTAGAAAAGCACTATCCCTCTCCCCCCCTTAAAGTTCTACTTTGGTAAATATTAACATTTAACCAGTTAGCAACATATTTAACCCCGTTAGCAAAAGTAACACTGTCACTGCAAGAATTACTCTTGTGCTTAGTAAATGTTGCAAGATGAACTTCACGTTGGATAAAGCAGATCTGAAATCAGTTTGTAATAAAGTGTGCCTCCCTCAACGTCAGCCTATGTGAATGGGAAATGAACAGAGCCCTGCAGCTTCTGCTGGTCTGCAGCCGGGCTAAATCCTCTGGTAGCCGGCCTGGCTCCTCTTCTGCCAATGAGATAAGCGATGAGGACGATGAGGACCAGCCATGCCAGGGCCCTGCCCTCGGTGATGGGGATGGGCATGCTATTCTCATCCAGCTGACATTCTTCCACAGACCCAAACTTGCCATCTTCTACCTGGGAAGCCTGGACCCACACCTTGAAAATGTTGACAGGAAAGGCCTTTGTGACCCAATTGTGCTCCTCGGTGTTGTTACATTTTATAGGAATTTAATTTGTAGGAATTCCCTATCATGGCCTTGAAAGTGGGGTCTTTGGCATTAGAAAGTCATGTGCAACTGGATTTCTTGCAGGGAAAAAACCACAAACAAACAAACAAACAAACAAACAAAAAAAAAACAGCTAGAACTCACACTCATTCCAAACTGGAAGACTAGGAAAGTGATGGTCTCACTCTGGAGGTCAAGTGTCACCAGCTGGGTAGTGCAGCTCCCACCGACACTGGTGTTACCCGGGTTAATGCTGAGTACTCTGGTCACAGTCCTGTCATCCTTCTTGTAGGTGACATTCAGCTGCAGCCCATGCTGGCAAGCAGACAGGTTTCATTGGTGCCACTCACGTTGTACTTGTGCACCGAGGGGCTCTCAGGCACTGGGGACGGAGAAGAGTGGGGAGGGGGTGGTGAAGGGCGGGGAGGGGATGATGAGATGTTGGCGATATTGCTGAGGAAGGTCCATCTTGCACACAGCATGTCTCTTCCTTGCTGAAGCTATCATTCGAAAGGTATGCCTGGATGGTGACAGTGACACTATTCATGTGGACATGGTTACTGCTCATACATATGTATTTTTTATTTATGTCTGACATGATGTCAGTTATGAATTTTACAGTTTTGACTCTCTGGAAGCTTGCATTGGAGAAAATCTGTGTGTCTTACAAGTTATAAAACAAAACACATCATCTGGACACTGTAACATGTAGCATTTCTTGCGAAGTTGAGGGTCAGTGTATGTCCTTTTCCAAAAGCAATCATGAGACTGAGGTTAGAAGCATTCTCTTTATCACAGTAGTTGCTGTTTAATGCTTCTGCATTAGGTGAAAGGTCGAAGGACACATTCTTAGAGCCACTCTTGGTATTAGAGTTGGTCAAGAAGTCAGCAGAGAAGTTGGCCATTATACAAGCTGTCCCGTTGCCATCTTTCACCACAAACAACACTGCTGATGCACCACACAAGGCCTGTGAGTAACAGCAGGAACAGTGGCTGCCACCAGGGGTCGCCATGGGCACCAGGGCCACCAGAATGGGAACCTGGAGGAGTTGGGTAGTTGGGCCACTGGAGAGTAAGTGCTGGGAAAGAGCTGAGGGCCATCGTGAGAGCAGCAGGTCCTGTGGTCAAGAGCACCACAAAACCAGTTTTATTAGAAACTAGAGGCCTAGTGCACAAAATTAATGCATGGGAGTAGGGTGGGGAAAGGAGAGATTCCTCAGCCCGGCCTGCACCCTCTCGCAATCCAGGACCCCTTGGGGGATGTCTGATTGCTGGCAGTTGGCCATCCCTCTCACAATCCGGGATTGCTGTCTCTTAACTGCTTGCCTGCCTGCTTGCCTGATTGCCCCCTGCCTGCCTGATTGTCCCTGGCTGCTCTGCTTGCCTGCCTCATCACCTCTAACTGCTCACCTGCCTGTCTGATTGTCCCAAACCACCTCTGCTTCGGAACCTGACATGGCAACTTCATCTGGAGGATGTCCAGCTATCTAATCTAATTAGCATATTACGCTTTTATTATAGATACAAGTTCCTAAAGGGACTTCTTTAGGAAGAAGAAAAGAGGGAAAAAATAGAGAGACATAGTTATAAAAAAAACAAAATTACAATAAATACACACCTATCAGTAGTCACTTTATTTTTTTTAAATTTATTTTTAATATATTTTATTGATTTTGTACAGAGAGGAAGGGAGAGAGATAGAGAGTTAGAAACATCGACGAGAGAGAGTCATCGATCAGCTGCCTCTTGCACACCCCCTCCTGGGGATATGCCCGCAACCAAGGTACATGCCCTTGACCAGAATCGAAACACAGGTCCCTTCAATTCCCAAGCCAACGTTCTATCCATTGAGCCAAACCAGCTTTGGCATCAGTAGCCACTTTAATTGTAAATGGATTAAATGCTCCAATCAAAAGACATAGGGTAGCTACATGGATAAGAAAACAAGACCCATATATATGATGTCTACAAGAGACTCACCTCAAAATGAAAGATACACACAGACTGAAAGTAAAGGGATGGAAAAATATATTTTATGCGAATGGGAGCAAAAAAGAAGCCAGGGTATCAATATTTACAACAGACAATGTAGACTTTAAAACAAAGGCTATAATAAGAGACAAAGAAAGACATTACATAATGATAAAAGGATCAATACATTAAGAATATAGAACCCTTGTAAACATTTATATGCACCTAACCAAGGAGCACCTCCATATACAAAGCAGAAGGGAGAGTAATAAAATAATAGTAGGGGATTTTAACACCTCACTGATATCAATGGATAGATCATCCACACAAAAAATTAACAAGGAAATAGCAGCCTTAAATGACACACTAGACCACATGGATTTAATTGATATTTTCAGAATATTTCTCCCCAAAGTGACAGAATATCCATCCTTTTCAAATGCATATGGAACGCTTTCAGGAATAGACCACATGTTAGAATACAAAACAAGTCTCAATAAATTAAAGAAGATTGAATTCATATCAAGCAACTTCTCCAATCACAATGGTATTAAACTAGAAATAATTTACAAGCAAAAAACCTAAAAAACACAAAACATGCAGAGGCTAAAGCACATGTTACTAAACAATGAATGAACTAACAATTGATCAAGGACAAAATCAAAATATACCTGAGACAAATGAAAGCACAATAACCCCAAATCTGTGGAACACAACGAAAGCAGTCCTTAGAGGGAAAGTCATAACATTATAGGTCTCCCTAAGAAGCAAGAAAAACTCAAATAAACAATCTAAATTTATACCTATAGGAACTAGAAAAAGAACAACAAGCAAAGTTCAAAGTGAGTAGAAGGAAGGAAATGATAAAGATCAGAGTGGAAATAAATAAAAAATAGTCTAACAAAAACAATATAAAAGATCAGAAAAACCAAGAGCTGGTCCTTTAAAAAGATAAACAAGATAAATAAATCTTTAAGCAGACTCATCAATAAACAAAAAGAGAGAACTCAAACAAATAAAACTGATGTGAAAAGGAGAAGTAACTGGTACCACAAAAATAAAAATTATTATAAGAAAACCAGAGGCCTGGGTGCACGAATTCACGCATGGGATGTGTGTGTGGGGGGAATCCTTTGGCCTGGTCTGTGGGGATTGGGCTAAAATCAGCTCTGCAACATCCCCCAAAGGGTCCTGATTTCAAGAGGGTGGTTCTCCAGTGATGCACTCCCTTCTCTCTGGTTCCTGGTACATCACCCAGAACCAAGAACTGCAGCTGCCAAGTTACTGCAGTTCGGCAACTCCTGTGTTGAGTGTCTCCCTCCTGGTGGTCAGTGCATGTCATAGCTACCAGTTGGATGGTCAAATAGTTGTTGGGTCAGCCGGTCACTTAAGCTTTTAAATATATACTAGTGATCTGTTCCAGGAATATTCCTGCAAGACTTCAGGTGGGCTTCCCTCCTGCCACTGTCACCTTTCCCTCACCCCCTCTCCCACTGCTGCGGGTGAGGCGGGCAGGATGGGTGGGGCGGTTGAGAAGGGCAGGGTGGGGCAGTCACCACCGCCATAGAAGGTAACTGTGGGAGGATATGAGACCTTCAAGGGGCTTAGCGAGACTTTCAAGGATCTTAGTGAGAATGACAAAGACATGGAAAAGAACTAGTCAGAAATTAAGCATACACTGACATAAATAAACAATAATTTACAGTGATTCAACAGTAGAGTAGAGGATTCTGAGAATCAAATAGATGATTTGAAATACAAAAAAGCAAAAAGCATGCTATTAGAAGAGCAAAAAGAAAAAAATAATCCAAAAATATGAAGGTAGTGTAAGGAGCCTCTGGGATAACTTCAAGTGTACCAATATTTGTATTATGGGGATGTTAGAAAGAGAAGAGAAAGATATTGAAAACCTATTTGAAGAAATAATGACAGAAAACTTCCCCTACCTGGTGAAAGAAATAGACTTATAAACCCAGGAAGTGGTGGGGTTCTTTTCCCAGCCTTACAAAGAGTTCAACATTTTGGAGAAAGGGGCTGCGAGTAGATGATTAAAGGAATCTGGAGACGAAAGATAATTTTGAAAGGCACAGGGGGTCAGAAAATCTTAAGCTAAAGGGAGCTAAAGCCTCTCCCTTCACCAAGGACCCATGCTTTTATTCAACATGATTTATCCTAAGGCAAGGTGGAAATATACACTTCAAAGGGCATGGTATCAAAGGGTAGAGTACAGAAGCATTATCAGTTTGGGGAATAACTACAGCCTCTCCCATGGACATTCCCCCTGTGTACCCCTCCCCCATTAGACGGGACCAGGATTAGGACCAGCATTGGAACTGACTGGGTGCAAGCCTGCAGCTATTTCTCTGTCACTGATGCACCAGTATCACCCTAGGACGGTGTGCAGAGACCATAGCAGTGAGCCTACCAAGAGGTGGCAGCAGCAGGCACAGCAGGGCTGGGATGAGCAGGAGTGGCGGGGCAGCCGCCTGGGCTTGGGATCCTCCCCAGAGGCCTGCTGCTTCACAAACTACTACATCCCTTGGGGCAGTGGTCGGCAAACTCATTAGTCAACAGAGCCAAATATCAACAGGACAACTATTGAAATTTCTTTTGAGAGCAAATTTTTTAAACTTAAACTTCTTCTAATGGCACTTCTTCAAAATAGACTTGCCCAGGCC